TATATATATATATATATATATATATTATTTGTCGGTTATTTTTAATTTAACCGAAGGAAAATCTTAGCCTAACTGTTAAAGTTGTTGTCATGTGACCAGGAGGTCACGGTTCGAGCCGTGGAAACAGCCTCTTGCAGAAATGCAAGGTAAGGTTGCGTACATTAGACCCTTGTGATCTGCCTCTTCCCCGAACCCCGTTTAGTACACCGAGCTACTCTTTATTTTTAATTTAAGTAATTAAGTAAGCCGCTACTTACTAATTGGTGGCTGCTGATCGTTTGAATTTTTACATTATTTGTCTAAAGTTGAGAATACAAGAATTTCTTTTCAAGACAACGGAGAAATAGAATATTGGTTTCGTCTTTTAGTAATCTAAAAAGTTTCTTCATTTTATTCTTTTGTCATATTCTATTTCTTTTGTAGATGAAAGGTCATTTTCCTTGCTATGTCCGAGATTAAACAGAAACAAAAGTCATATATAATGATCAAATTAATTACTCATACCTTTGACCATCATGCATTTAAGAGACCAAAATAAGAATTTAAGAAATGTAGAAATATTTAGAGTAAACTATATTTGCAAATTAAAAAACTCAAAAACTTCAAACCAACGATAAAGGAATTAAAGAGCAACATCTCTTTTTAATTTTGTGGAATATTCGCATGAGGAGAATTTGCCAAATAATTAATTTGTGATAACCAGCTCGAAATGTAAGTGAATATTTGAATAGTTAAGAAAGTAATGCATTTCTTTTGGCCAAAATTCTGTGCTATAGTTCCAAAATTAAGAAAATTAATCTTAATTTGATAATATAGAAAATTATGTAACCTTTTATTTATTATTTTAGGATATTTTGACATGATATCGTAAAACAAACTCTACTATATTCATGCATATAAGTTAAATTCAATAATTTCACTACATAATTATAGATTAACTCGAGAATAATACTCCTCTTTTTTCTTTCTTTTCGGCCAACGGGAATAATGCTCTCAAATTCGCAATGTTGGACTTAAATAGTAACAACCCATTTATTTTCGTTATATTTTGTCCTTTCTCGTTATTTTTTTGTTTGATTAACATTCAGAACTCACTTATCCGACTAATTCATATTTATATTCTATATCAAGAGAAAAATGCTATTTATTAGAAACTATTATTCCCAAAACTCGAGTCAAGTCAAGACCTCTTAAGGATAGAAAAACTCGTTATCCCATTTTTTTTCCTTGACGTTATTTTTTAAAATGGTATCTCCTTTATAGAGTAAGGAAAACTAACGCAACGTAGGAGTAGGGGGCTATTTGATGCCTTTCTAGGTGGCAAATGGCTATTCCATTGAATAGATATTGGATGAGATTGTGTCGTCTTTATTTTTTATAACAAAGTGATCCTATTTTGGTTTTATTTTTAGGTTTTTATTTGGCGTTTGGTATTTACATATTGAGATCAGGCTTTAGATTTTTATTCGGTGTTTGATATTCACATATTGAGATCAGACTAAATTTAGATTCGCGATGAAAAGTTTCGCATTGGGATAAATCACTCCCTAACAAATACAACTTCATACATAAGGCTCGAACCCAATTGGGAAATAAACCGTTCTCTAAGAAAGACGACTCAATACATAAAGCTCGAACCCGAAACCTCTAGTTAAAAATAATGGAGTATTTACTACTATACCGCGCCACAATCCTCGTTGGTGATCTTATTTTGGTTGACGTCGTAGTCATCGTCAATGAAAGCCTTTTTCCTTTGCATTCCTTTGCTTTATTTTGCTTTTTCTTATAAATAGTACCAATCTTTATTCTCTTGTTTACTTTGCTGTCATTTTCACTTACTTTTGTTGTCCACTTTTGATTGGATATGATTATTTACAATAATTAAATTACACCGTCTAAAATTTACTAATAAAAAAGAATCTTTTTCTAGTATTGTAAACGAATATGTAACGACCTGGCCGGTCGTTTTGAGTATTACAAGTCTGTTCTTCTATTTATTGCTCAATTTATGCCTTACAGTTAATTTATGACTTATCGGGTTAGTTGATTCGGGTCCGAAAAAATTTCGGAGTGAAATGAGACACTTAGTCTCATAATTAAAAACTTAAGTTGAAAAAGTTGACCGGATATTCACTTATGTGTAAACGACCTCGAAATTTAATTCTGATGATTCCAATAGCTCCGTATGGTAATTTTGGACTTAAGAGCGTGTCCGAAAAATTATTTGGAGGTTCGTAGTGGAATTAGGCTTGAAATGTCGAAAGTCGAATTTTTGGGAAGTTTCACCGGGGGTTGACTTTTTGATATCGAGGTCGGAATCCGATTATAAAAATTTGAATACCTCTGTTATGTCATTTATGACTTGTGTGCAAAATTTGAGGTCAACCGGACGTGATTTGATAGGTTTCGGCGTCGTTTGTTGAAACTTGAAATTTCAAAGTTCATTAGACTTGAATTGGGGTATGATTCGTGGTTTTAGTGTTGTTTGAGGTGATTTGAGGCTTCGACTAAGTTCGTATGATGTTTTAGGACCTGTTGGTGTATTTGGTTGAGGTCCAGGGGTCTTCGAGTAAGTTTCGGATGGTTAACAGGTTGGATTTTGGACTTGGAACTATGCTGAAATTTTTCTAATGCACCATCTGGTTTCCTTCATCGCATTCGCGAGTGGAGCCTCGCGTTCGCGAAGAGGAACTGAGAGGCTGGCAATATTTGCTCTTCACGTTCGCGAAGAGAAGGACGTGTTCGCGAAGGGTGGACAGGGTGTGCATCGTGAAAGCGGGAGGGGTTACGCGTTCGCGAAGAAGAGAGGAAGCAGCTGAGGACCCCAGGCAATTGGTCTATGCGTTCGCGTAGGGGGTGTCACATTTGCGTAGTGAGGGGAAAATGAAGCATCGCGTTCGCGATTGGTTGAACGCGTACGCGTAGAAGGCATTGAGGCAGAGGCACTTTGTGCTTCGCAAACGTGAGAGGTATGTCGCGTTCGCGAAGGAGGAATTTGGACGGGAATAATTTTGTGCTTCGCGAACACGAGGCACTAACCGCGTTCGCGAAGAAGAAAAGCCTGGACAGTGAGTGTAAGTTTTGAAAATGGGACTTCGTCCCATTTATCATTTTTATCGATTTGGAGTTCGGAGAGAGAGAATTTTCATGAAAAACAACGAGGTAAGTGTTCTTAACTCAACATTGATTAAATTACCCGAATCCATGGTTGTTTTTAACATTTAATTGGTGAATTAAGTTAGAAAATAGTGACAACCCTCTTGGTTTAATTTGAAGATTTGAGGGTCGAGTTGATGTCGGATTTGAGTAAAATTTATATGGTTGGACTCGTGGTTGAATACGCCTTCATATTTTGTAACTTTTATCGGGTTCCGAGACATGGGCCCCGCAGACGATTTTTGAGTGTATTTCGGATTTTGTGGAAAAATTAGTATTTTGATATGAAATAAATTTTTATAATTTGGGTTGACTGAATCAAATTAATTTTGACTAGATTCGAGCTGTTCGGAAGTTGTTACGCGCAAAGTGAAATTTCTGGAGCATTGTTTAGCTTGCTCGATATTAGATTCAGCTTGTTCGAGGTAAGTAACTCATCTAATCTTGGAGTTGAGGGTATGAACCCTGAAAATATGTATTATGTAAATTATTGGGAGGTGACGCACATGCTAGGTGATGGGTGTGTGGGCGTGCACTATGAAAATTGTGACATAATTATTTTCGTAGAATTTTGTAATCAAATAATCTTGGCATTTTCTATGTAGTTTTATGTTAAAGAAATTAAGCTGAGAATCATATTAAAAATTATGTTGAGGCTATGTACCAGTGTTATTGGGACACACAAAGGTCATATTGCTGTAAATTATTTGTTTTAAATTAAAAATTCATACTTAATCATATTCATGTCATTACATATCATATCTCAGTCTCTATTGTTATTTATTGATATATCATATCATCATTTTTGGGCTATTTTTATGACATTGTGAGCCCATGAGAGAGAGACTCGAGAGAATGATGACTAAGTGAGGCCGATGGCCTGATTGTGAGGATAATTATGGGATCGGACTGCATGCCGCAGCAGGTCATATTGGCTTTATATACTTTATTATTATGTGGATCGGGATTGTCTGCCTGCAGCAGGCCTTATAGGCTTTATTATAGCACGTGAGTTGTCCGTGCAGATACAGATATTGATACTATAGCACGTAAGTTGTCCGTGCAGCACGTGAGTTTTCCGTGCAGATTATAGCGCTTGGGCTGAAGGAGCTCCTCCGGAGT